CTGGTTGTTGTACCTGTTGTCATTAGTTTGGTCTTCTTTGTGTATTTAATTTTAGTCCCATTTTCTCACCATGTTCCTTGACTTTTATTACTAAAACTTGTAGATCCTTTGTATTTTCAGATATTTGATTAGTGTCATCAGCATAGTGCATGTTATTGATGTTTTTCCTTCACTTTTAAAACCACACTAATCTTATTCAAATCTGGCTTGCCTCAATATATAGGGAAAGATTGAATAAATAAGGGAAAGGTATACAGCCTTGTCTCATTCTTTTGCCAACCTGAAGCCAGTCTGTTTTTCCAGGTTCTGTCCATATGTGGCTTCCTGAACATATAGGTTTCTCATGAGGGCAATGAGATGTTTCAAATAAATAGCATTGTACTAAAAGAATTGCAGAAACCAGGGGGATCACTTAGAAACTTAACTGAATTGGAACATCTCCTAATTCATATCTCAGAACATTTGTTGGGCCTTATTTATAAATTGCTGGTGAAGTATGATTCAGAAACTAAGTCAAAAATCAAATTTAGATGTAATATAATTAAACAATGGGAATTTCAATGGAAGACCATAAAATTTACTTGAACTATTATACAGAAAAATTGATATAAGTTGTTTTACCATTGGTATATTACTCTAGAAAACGGATAAACCATTATCTAAAAATTGCTAGAAATGTAACGACTGGTTGGATCATTCTCTTACATCTGGTATGTTGTAAAGCTCAACAGTTCTGGAAAACAATTCATACCGTACTAGAATGAAACAAATCCTAAAACCTGAGTTCCCATTTCAATATTTATATGCTGCTGGGAGTCAGGCGGCATATAAATTTAATAAATTATTAATTATTAAGCTTTGTTAAAACACAGATTCCCTCAAAGTATACTGAATTAGCTTTGTACATGTTAACTGCTGCCACATATTATATGCTTTTATGAGAAAAGTTGTTTGCTCTTCTCAGCTGAAGAATGGCTAATTAAGTTATGGAACTATACTTCAATATTTAGAATAACTTCATACTTTAAATATGGATCTTACACAATCTAACTCAAGTTGGAAAACAATTCTAAATTACAAATTAACACATGGATTTCTCTATGCTTACAATGTATATTCATTGTTATAGCATTCCTAAATCAGAATAGATTTTAATAATGTGGATAGAATATATTGTAGTTTATAAGCTTACTTGGTGATTAATACTGTTTTGTTCATGATTACTGATATTCATGTTTTGTTTAGAATTGAATAACTATTTTTAGACTTTTAAAATAATACAATATAGTCAGTTATTCACAGTTAAGTAATGATTCATAGAAAAACTGTATAACCTCCATATTTGTAAATCCCTTGTTTATTCTTTTGTATTTTGTCTCTTTATTCTTCTTTATTTTTTCTTCTTGTTTGTTATATGTCTTCTTTAAATAGTTTAAAAATGGAGAGAGAACAAGTTAGGAACTGTTCAGTCTAGGGGAATATGATTCCATCCAGACCCAAAGATGGAATATCACTGGTCTTAGTTGGCTTCTGAGCCCACATCTACTCAGCCTTGATGCAACTGAACCTGAATCTGCTTTTCCCTATCCAGACCCATTGCTACCTCTAGGTACTGGGATAGAACCTCAACTGCATCTCCTGTTTGGCTCAGGATTGCAATGTACAACTGACTAGCAATAGCATATTGCTGATACTTAACCTGTGCTGGCAGATGATGTTTCCCAGTGGATTGATGTAGATGATGAGTAACACAGGAAATAGTTTTGTTTTTTGTTTTACTTGAAAACTGAACCCTGGCTGGATCCAGCTCATTTTCAGACTTGTTCTTTCTTTTGCCAGCTTCTCCTGCCACACAAAGTTTGGTTGCTTTCTGTCCGTTTCCAGAGATTATCCTACTGAAATACAGTTCCTGAGGCCTTTTATATAATTTCTTTCCAACAAGATAGGGACAAAATCTATATTTAAGCAAAACATATCTCAAAACTTTGCACTCTATCATTGATCTCAGGAGGATGAACTTCTTTGAATACAAGTCATACATTTGAAGTAAACATTGTTTTGTTTAGAAAAGAGGATGTAGAGACTCAGCAAGCTTCATTTCTCATTAGTTGCGTGGATTTTGAAACACCAAAGTGTTACTTCCCTAGCTATTGGCTTCAATTGTTGAAGCATGATGAACAAATTGTTTAAAAAGTTAAAGCTTCAGTGATAGCAGCTATCTAATAAAGTCAGGCCTGGATGCTGTTAATGGAAAAAGAATTGTGGTTCAGCCACAAAACCTCACAATTAGTCTCTCTCAACCCAAACTAGCTTGCAGGACTGTTGTGGGGAAAACAGGACGGAGTGCCTAGAGCTTCTGATTGAAAGCAGGATAAAAATTTATCAAATGCCAGGAACTGAGCTGAGGGCTGAGATCTTCAGTGCTTGATTTTGGAAACAGCATAATAATGACCAGAAGTTGGCATGGATTTGTCAAGGAAAGTCTTGTCAGACTAATTCTCTGTCACATGGGTATGTTCAACCCACCTATTAGGGATGCTA